ACGAAAAAAAAATGGCGGACAATTTGAATCATATTTCTGACGACGAAGAGTCAGAATGGCTGGCAAATATACATCCAAGTTTATTAGATGAATCGAACGAAGAAAAACAGCTAGACGACCTGGAAATTTCTTCATTTATTGAAGAAAAAAGAAGCAGCAACACGACAACCCGCCAATTCCGTTCCGCATACTTCTGTCACGCACTCCCCGTAAATAAATATCGGCGAAATTCGCCCGCACTGAAATAACAGTTTGGCGTGTTGGATAATAAATAACTTATTAGACGTTTTGTTGTGTAGTATCGCTGAGTATTTTTACTCGTTATTTGTATTTTGACTCGCCCTACGGGCTCGTCAAAATACGGCACAACTCATAAAAATACTCAGCGATACCACACAACAAAACGCCTAATAAGATATATTCGAGCCCCGGCCGGACCAACACTCAAGGTCTTAAAATAATTGAGAAGAATATGCTACCTTTCTACAACATCAAGAAATGGTTAGATATTCTAGTCTTCTCGAATAGGGACGAATAAATGGAGGTCCCGTATGCTGCAGGGTTAGGGGTAGGAGACGTTAATTTCCCACGCACGAGATTACTGTGTGATGGATGTCCTTCCCTTGGGTGGGATGGGTGGGTTTGTTGGAGCTTAAACCTCGCAGGGGACCTATGTCCTATTGTTTCTGCTCCAGTACTTGGTACAAATCCTCAAATAAATAAAATAAATAAATAAATTAACTAGAAATTCCCCAACCTATCTTACGAATAATTTTAATAACTCTGACATGATTATTTATTGTACTTGTGCATCAACCATAATCATTGTAAGCATTATACATTTAAAGGTTGTGCACATCAATTCTCTGCTATCACTTCAGCGTCATAAACTTCAAGTATTTCCTGCAAGGTTACATAATATAAAATTTCCAGCATTAATAAAATACAGCTATCAACAAGCACGCTTTTTTTTCACATCATTCTTTCAACTACTCTTTTAGTTTAAAACAAGTGTTTGAAATTTGAGCGTTGTATGAGATCCATCACATTAGGCTCCCGTCCCGTTATAATGACAATCACCTGATTGAGTTAACAAAAAGACAAAAAACAACGAAGAAAAAGATAATAGAAAAAAGAAAGAGATCGATTTACAATACTTATCAAGTATTTTGTCATTACAAAGACAACTGTCCATCTAAAAGCGAAGAACATAACAAGAGGGATGAACTGACCAAACTTTAGTCCTTTAACTCCCATGAGTGACCAAGACAAAATTTCTCCTTACAAAATCAACACAATAGCAAGCAGACAAGTGATGAGAATAAAGAAAAATATCAATTCGGGTATGATTAGTGGATCCAATATCAAATTCTCCAAACTAACATCGTAAGAATTGTATGGCAGACAGTAAGGAGAATTACTAATGAGAGATATTGAGAGTGAAAGGGTAGAGCCTGTTAATCATTGTGTTCATCAGTGTGTAAATTAGTGTTTTACACCCTATTTACTACCTTCAGCTATACTAAGTTTTCCTAGCTGTTGCAATGATACATACCCTCGTCATCCTCATGCTTAAAGAGTCTTGATATTTCCTCAATAGTCCTTCCTTTAGTCTCCGGAACGAGAAGTAAGGTGAAAGCAAAGGAGAATGCCACTAGTGCCATAAACACAAGGAAGGTGTACGGATACAATGCATCCTAAATATGTAAAAAAAAAATTGGTCTCAAAAGACGGGGTTGAATAAATATGGCAGTCTGATAGGGACCGATAATAAAAATAATTGCCACTGTACCTGCATTGATGGAAACATGAGTCCAACCACAAAGTTTGAAAGCCAATTGGCAGTACCTGCTATACTAACAGCTGCAGCTCTGGAGCCTTGAGTGAACAGCTCCGCTGTTATAAACCAGGGAATTGCCCCTAAAAGATGGTATTCGTCAACAAAATACTCAATAAAAATAACCAATCAAGCTCTGAGACTACAAACTTCGACATAATGTTGATTCTTAACTTAACAAAAGCACTAGAGGTTCAGCAGTAAAACAAAGTTACTGATTCACAAATGCTACTCAAAGAGGGTAAGTTTTTCTAGATCTCTCTACTTTTAGGCCAGTATGACTTTCTTCACTTTTTCTCTCACAGAGCAGAAGTTAACTGCTGGAAAAAGGGCACCAAAACTCAATTCCTTGCAAGTCATCCAACATAGCAAGGTTCATGCTAATTCATGTGAAACTTGAAAGGGTAAGCTGACATTTGCCCTTTCACAAAAAGTCAGTGTTAAATCTCTCTATTGATTTAACGGTTATACGTAATGAATGGTAATGATTACACGAAACTCTTTTGTGTAAACATCAAATATAACCCATCCTTGGTGATGTATCATTTATGATAATAAGTTATCATCCTATGTTAATATCAATATCCATTTTGTAGATGCAGAAACACGAAATATTTATTATTTTAATCATGTTGCATACCTGGACCAACTTGGAAAAATACTACAAGCAACAACAAGGCTACCACAGAAACATAGTTCATTTCTGACAAACTCTGTAAAACAAAAAAAAAAAAATTATAAAAAAAGCATCTTAAATATTATTCAATCACTAAGTCATCACAATAGGTAACACAATTTAGTATGGCAAAAGGTCACGAACAGTGAACTACTTTATACCTCATAACGAAAGGATATTGTCATCACAGCATAAAATACAAACATTCCTCCAAATCCTACAAGCAGTAATGATCTCCTTCCAATAACCTCCACTGTTTTTACCTAAAAATCACATCATATTGGAAACACAGAAAGTCAGATACAAATCATGGAGATATGGTAGGTCACTTCAGGAGCTTATCATAAGTTAATATACTGAGAGTCTTAAGAGGATGATTACTGGTATTTAATGTTGAGAAAGCTTTTCTGGGGAAATAAACATTGTCCTCCCTTCCAGAATATCCAGCAAGTAGGCTTGCTATGGTTATCATAATTTTCAAATAATCAATATTCAAAACATGTTTGGGAAGTATACACATCTATGCATAAAATTCTCTTTTGTTCAAAATTATGATCCTTAGGATACAAAAATTACAATCAAGATTTGAAAACACTTGAAAAATATACGAATTAAAGAAAAAACACACAACAGCATGTCAATTCAAACTTACTGTGACAGCAGTCATAAACACGCTAACAACACCAACTGCACAAGAGGCTACACGACTTTCTTTCACACCAGCCTTCTCAAGTATTGATGTTGAATAATAAAACACCTAAAAGAGAGAGATACAATAAAAATAAAGTACTGAGTTGTTGGTACTAAATTTTTGGGAGGTGCATCAGATCAGGGACTATTCTAAATTGACATAAACAGAATAGCTTACAGAACAGAGTGCTTTTCACTGTTGGTGCTAAAACTATAGTTATGCATTCTGATCCTAGAAGTATGTAGGAAATGTGTCATATATGAACTGACAATCAGCATCAAAATAAGTCAACACATCATGAGTTGACACATCATGTATGAAGAGTTCTATCTATTTGAAGAATAACAGTCCTGTTTCCACCACACTCTAAATCATTAATAGACCCCCCCCTCTCATTCAAAGTTGGCTAACAGTTCATAGAATCACGATACAACATTGATTTTGAGGAGAAAGGGGCATATAGGCTAACTTAACAAGGGCAAAAGAGATAAAATTGAAGTAATAGGGGGTTGAAAAGATCAATGTGTCAACAGTTTTGTTGCTGATCATAATAATGACCTAGCTCACCACAGAGTCACTATTTGGCTCAGTGGTAGGGCATGGAAGAGCAAGGTCTGAAGTTTGATTCCTCATAGGACACGAGAAAAGATGAAAAGATGAAAAGGCATCCTTATTTATATCAAAAGCAAGCTTAAAATTCACCATTGTTCCTTTTCTATTAAGGATAGTGAGAGTACACTACTTGTAAAAAACTACAACAAAGTGTAACATCAGAATAATTGTATGGCAGACACTGATTGTATCTTTCCCTTCCCCATTCTATTAAGGAGAGTGAGACTTTTAAATTCAGTTTATGTTGTGCTGTTCTGCTGATTAGTATCCTTTCAATAAAATACGTGTCTGGCCAACTTATGCTTTTAGTTGTAATGAGGATTTCTCTCCTCCCCAAGGTTATCTGACAAGATGTGAACTTGTCTTTACAAAACATTATTTTGAATACCACAAAAATGGAAACATTACTGGTGATACAAGATAATTTGGTGTTATCGACTAAGCTGATATTGTGAACTGACCACTGTAAAGAAATTCTGAAGCTGTCATTTTGAGAGCAAATACAAATCTGTTCTGACAAAGGGCTAATCCTCGCAACCTCAGCTCTAGAATCTCTTTATGGGGGCCAATTCACATTTATCAACTCAGCAAATAAAATCAAATTACCTGGTACAATCCCCCACTGACATAGCACCAAAGTTTCTTTAGAAACATACCCCATTATTCATTACAATTGATATCCAAATTTTATATTTAGTCCATAAACACAACTACAACTTACTGCATTGATTCCACTCAACTGCTGTCCTAACTGTAACATGACACTGATAAGTAGTGGCATTCTTAGTGCTTGGATTGTAACTAATTTAAAGACACTGATCTTCCTTTCTTTTAGCTGATGTTCCTGTTCAATCTGTAAATCAAATAGTTTTTATATTTTGAAGTGTTCAATACAGAATGATATGATATTCACCAGACAGGTCTGTCTTGGGGAAAACTGAGCCAGAGGTCTTGGATACTCAAGACAAAGGGCAAAGTTTTCCCCAATATGGACCAACCTAGGCTGGTGAATAACATTTTTATTTTTTTGTTATGCTTAACAAAAATTTTAATGTTTTCCAAAACAGCCCAAATGATTTAGGGCTAAAATAACAAGTTTAATGACGTAAAGAACTTCCAAAAATTGACCAGTTTTTTAAGCGAGTGGATCATATATTAAAGAACACAGATGTTATTCACATTAAAGAGAAAGGCTTTCCACCAAAACACTCCTATTTGGGTAATGGTAAAGGTAACTTAAAAGGCTTCCACACAAACTTTGCAACATTGTTTACTCTGTTTCTGTCATGATCTGACACCTGTCAAGTGGAGAGGGAAAAAAAGCACTTGTTTGCTTTTGGATGAACAACAGTGCTGACATGGCAAACACACACAAGTTAATTAAATAAAATGAACATGGCAGTGATCTTCTCTTACAAAATACTCAATGATACAATGGATATACCTAGTACTGCTTATTTTCAATGATGATTAATCTTTGAAGAGTTACTTCTGTTCAGTTTTAAATGTCACAGAAAGTCAAACTATAAGTGAATGCAAATGTGTGTTTTAGAGCTGTGAGAGTCTGCTTGTTTGTTCTTTTGCAATGGAGTGTGTAAATCTTGTATTTCTTCCATTGAAAACTAATGTCAAATGAGAAGCTTTTTTTAGCTAGACCCAAGGGGATTTGATGAGACTTTCATCACATTCCAGTTTGGTTTCTGTCAAATTCATGAAAGAAATGTCCAAATCCAGAGACTAGCAAAGAATGAGCAAAATTATATTTACAGAAGATCTTAAAACTTTGCTCAACATTAATTTTTCACAAATGGAAAAATTGTTTTGGATAATTCAGATATTGAAATGAATGAGAGTAACTGATTAATGTAATTGTTAACTGCAAATACCTCTCGTTTTAACTTCTTGAGGTACTTTTTGAGAAGCATTATTAAGTTACATGTGGTTTTGAGGCAGTATTTCATTCTTAAATTCAGTACAAATTTATTTTTAAATCAGTTTTTGCAGAAAAACCAAAGCGTTTTGAGAGAGAGAGGAGAGAATACACATTATTTATCCGTGAAAGGTTGACGGAAGCCTGAACATGCTGTCCAGCTGTTAAAACAAGATATATAACTGAAAAATTGTTACGATGCTAGAGAATCTGTTCTGCAAAGCAACTTGGCAGGAAACACTGACACCATATGCTGAGAGTGGTCTGGATGGGAGAATACTACCTGCTCTCTGAAACAATCAGATCGCAGGATTTGTAGAATACTGCCCGCTCATGAACTGAGAAAAAATGGTTACTGTACAGATCTTAAATTCAATGTTAACTGAAATGTCTAATTTCTACACTGCTAACCTATGATAAGGCATTCCCAACTGTGTAGGCTTCTCATGAGGCAAGTGCAACTTTAATTCATGACTGTTAGTCACCTACTGTTTACATTCATAAGATGTGATTATGGTAGTCAGTTATCCTAAAATTCACCATACCCTGTTTTTTCTCCCAATTGTTTCTTTTAACTGGTGAAGTCAATGCATTTACATTAGCTTAGACAAGAACGCTTCTAAAAAAAAACTTTCTAAGCAGAGTACCTGAGAATGTTTTCAGTTCCACTTTTTCTGAATTACATAAAACTTGTGTTTAACTTAGTAGTTTTATTACTTGGAACCAGACAGAACTCATATCTTACAGAATCAATAAAAAAATTTATTTATCAAGAGACTTCCATTGAGGAAAGCAGGCAACCTGACTGCTGCTTACCATTGATTCAAAGAATCTAATGGCTGGCTGTAAAGTTGGTATAGTTAGTAAAAAACAACAACAACAAAAAAAACTGAAAAATTAATCTGTGCTGATCAGCTGCAAATTAAGGGGGGAAAATACCAAGTAACACTTTATAACACCATGTTACTTCATACATGTAATATGGGTGCATGGACCAACCAGCTTTCTGCCTCACAGAAAATCAATCTTGAGTACAAAGTTTGTAAAACGACTTATGGCATTGAGCACTTCACCAACCAGAACAGATCTCATATTTATCCCAAAGGTATCCAGTGGCCTTTGATTGAGGCAAGCAATGAGTCATACATGGACTGAGATTTCTACAAGTGGATACCAAGCCTTGGGTAAGTGTTGCTCCATTTAAAATACACATTCTTAGACTAGTAAACTTCAAAAGATGGTCCACTTGTGTGAAACTTTAAGAATTCTCCTCATGTCCTAATTCTTGGTTCATGTGGGATTATGATTAAAATTTGATTAACCAGTTACATGTACTCCCATGGTTGATACAGCTGTAAGTTCTTTTTTTCAGATATAACTTATTAATTAACTTACTCTCATTTCTTCAATGTCTACCATCACATTGCTTGTTCCTCTTAGCATCCTTAAGGCTATTTTTGAAAGGAAGAATTTACACAGTATTTCAATGTTGTAAAGTACAAACAAATGATCACAATTTTTAAGGTAATTTCCTAGAAAAAAATTAATATAAATATTTCGAGAAAAGACCCCTTTTGTTTGTCAATACACAATCTTTCAGCAGATATGCTTTCAAATTTCTTAAACATTTAACATTCATCCATTCAGCCGTTTATTCAATGACATTCATCTATTCAAAATAACACATTCTTGCTCTTTTGATGTACCTGTAACACAAAAATAACACTTAAATATCTTAGAATGTGGAAACAAAACAAATGAATCAACACCTGAGGTGGTTACCATCAGCCAGAACTCATGGGCTGATGGGTGGATCTTATAAAAATTAACACAGAATTAGGCTTTTTTCATAGTTTTCTTTAACTTCTGGATGCATTCATGAAACTGCCTTGTGGTTCCATTTTTTTAGTTTAAGTCTTTTCCAGACCAGTACAGGGCTCAACACTAATGGTAGCCAACTAGCCACAGACTAGTAGAAATTCAGTTTTGGCTAGTGATTTTCTATTTCCGCAAGTCAGTTTGGCTAGCGAACAAACTGAAATTGTTGTAACATCTAAGATGTCACTAGCCACTTGGCTAGTAAGTTGAAAAGTTAGTGTCAAGCCCTGCTTGTACGATTTTCGTTTTTCTTTATTTTGTATATTCTTATCAAACTGTGAAACAAACTTAAGGCACATATGATGAGCATTTCAACTGCAAAATGCAATTTCTAACTAAATTTGCCCAAATACATGTGAATGGTTTGTGTAGGTGCTCTTGGCAATGTTTATAAAGCAAAAGGCCACTTAACACTGATAGTGCCTGAGAAATGTCTCAAACTGCTAAATACATCCCATACTGTGCTGTCCTTATAATTAATGAGTGTTACAGAAGATAACCTGTGGCACAGTAGTTATGTCAGCCAATAAGCTCTAAGACCCTGAAGTATTGATACATATACTGTATACCAAGTCAAGTAACTAGAGGTGACTGAGATTTAAACCACTACAATACCTTCCACTGTCGCTGGTTCTTTGTTCAGTTTAAGTAACAAATAACGTGGACTTCTCGGACAAAATGGGAGGGTCAAGACCTGCAGTAGTGCTACAACAAATCCAAAACCAACCGAGTAAGGCCAGCGACTATCTGTGCCAAATACCTGCAATGTGAAGAAAGTGCTGTCATTCATAATCTACATACAAACTATTGATTGTCATGTATTCTAGCCCAATTCCCACCCTCTCTGCAATGTGGACTAAACAAAGTTATCATGTGAGGAAGGTTGAACTGGATATTAAAATACTAAATTAAACATCCAAGAGAACATAGTTGCTGAAACCTAGAATGTTGAAACCTAAAATGGCCTTGTCATGTCAAAGCAATTTAGCAGATTGCTAAAATCAAACAGAAAAGAACTTACCTATATATATGCTTGATGTACAATAATGAAAATTACAAGTTCTATATTCTCTTACTTATAGGGCTTTTCTGGAAAGCACTGAAAGCTTTGCTAATAATGTTATTCTCAACTGATGGAGGTACTTTTGGAGTTTGTTTCATGTATACAGAGTCGTGTAAAAATCAGTTAGTTCATCACACTGAATTTATGCAAATACCTGTGTAAGTCCAAATATAAATCCCACAAGAATTCCAGTTACAATTCCAAATTGATTAAGCACACCAAGAGAACCTCTTAATTTGACAGGAGCAATCTCTGACAAGTAGACTGGTGCCACAGCCGTATTTACTCCTGCGTTTAAAAGCAGACTGAAATAAGTGGCAGAGTTGTGCTGCTTCCATATCCACATGTTATGTCACACATAGCTTCACTGAATCTTGTCCTTTAAATTGTTTGTACCAGAGTTATCCTTACTATAAGTTGATCTGTTATGAGTCAAAATTATTTAACTAAACTACATTACTTCAATGGGGCACTATTCAGACTTAGATGTACCAACATAACAAGAAATTGTAAAAACCCGCATACAAGCTGCACTTTTTTCCGAAAATCATCACTAGAAATTGGGGGTGTGGCTTATCTGTGGGAACATTTGAAAAAGGTGTTGTGAATGTCGATGCCAATTTCCATTTTCATGTCTGATCTAATGCCTGGTTACTAAGCTTCATGCTCTGCTCTTGTTGTGATGCAAGAAATCCATGGAAAAACTGTGTTGAATGAAGAAATTCCTGTCAACAAATACCAGAAAAAGACCAATCCTATGTCAAAGTTGGTAGAAACAATGTTCACTATATTAAAGTGCTAAAATTGTGAGTAAGACTTTAAAGTATTTTCCATTGCAATATTAATATTGAGTTTACGTTCGATGAACAGTGGATGGAGCAGACTTCTCAAGACTCGACTTTGGATTTCTTTTGATTTCAAAAAACTCTTTTTCCAAAATGTGAGCTGCTAAATTCAGGGTGCAGTTTATCTGCAGCTCGGCTTATCTCCACGCTTTTACGATATTTTAAGAGAGATAAAAGGACTATCTGTTAGCACACTATATTTAAAATCAGGATTGCATCGCATTGCCGCATATAAAGCAGCCAAAGTTGCATAATTTATCATTTCTTTGCAAGGAGATAATGGCTGTTTAGGGATAATTTGAACCTTTTGATTTTTTAGAGAAATCAAAGAGTGATAGAACTTTTAGATATAATTTTAGATATAATTTTAGAATGATATAATTTTTGAAAAAGGTTCATCAAAAGGGTCCTTTAGGAAAAACAACACGAATTACAGAATTTTGCAACTGTTGGGGGATTCTCAATATTTATGGTGAGCAGCTCGTAAACAGGTTAAAAAACCATCTCTGACTGATAAAATGATATTATACTTAAAACAACTTCCATGGGTAATTTTCTCCTTGCTCCCAACAAACATGATGTATCACCAGACTGAGGTAATGTCAAACATTGGCAAATTTAACTTAAGATGTTACAGACAAAAGTGTCCCATTAAGTGAACAGTGCAACTATTTTACAATAAGTAAAAGAATATTAGAAATAAAACCCACCACCATTAAATCCAACCACAAGCCGTCCTATAATTAGTAGTAAAGGCGCTTTTGCATGGTATGAAAAGAACATCATCAAAGATCCCACCATGGCTGGGAGGTTGTTCAGGAACAAAGTTTGTTTACTGGGAAAAACAAAAGCAAAGAGTCTAAAATCTTTTTTTCTCAATTACAAAAAATATATATTTACAAAGCAGACAGTGCAATACTTAGTTCTCACTAACCGACATAGCTTAGTTAATAAAATGTTTATTATATGGCCGAGTCTAGAAAGCAACGGAACATTATATTCTTGGTAACCGGTCTAGATGCCGGTCTAGATGGGAAAATCTAGACCGCTTTCAATACTGATTTCAGCCAATCAAATTCGTGAATTTGGTAGTTCCCAGTCCTTGTGAGACACAGCCATAATAATAAGTAATACAATCTAACATGCAACACTCATAGAAATGCCAATAATTCTGTTTATAACCTTACCTGCAAAAGAATTTTTACTGACGTAACAGTACAGTTTAACCTCGATTATCCAGATTCTTTTCTCTGGTCCCAATTTTTCATGAATATTAATTAGTTGTGATCTTGAAAACTCAGAGTTGCAAAAAGCCCGCAAATCCTTTAAAAAGACTGTTAAAACAGCGTATTATCCTGTGCGCTTTTCAAAATTCGCAACTGCAATGAGACAAAGAAATATTCTGATGCATTATTTGTTGATACATACAGGCTGTGTAGCTATCACAATTAAAATGATGTTTTCTTTCCTGTAAACCTTTTGTTTACATTTCTATCTTAATAATATTAATATTTTCGATTATCCGGGCTCTCGATTATCCAGACTATTTACAAAGGTTCCAACGAGTCCGGATAATCAAGGTTCTACTGTACTACTGATCATGTTGAGTTACTAACAAAACAGCTTGTTACTGTAAGTTATACTACTTAGAATAAATTATTACATTACAAACACTTGTCTAAAACATTGTGCCCTTATGAAAAACAATATGCACTAAAAACATTTACCAGATGAGGGTAATTTTTACCCGAATTGACCAATCAGAGTGCTTTGTTTGTTTCAGTTTACCGCCGGGTAAAGTTTACCCTAGTCGGGTAAACTTACCATTAGCAATTCGCTTCTTAGAGCCCTTCTATGGGCAGTATCGATGCAAAATAATTACATTCTTTCGATTGTGCCTTCTTAGAATCGAATTTCGCGATTTGGAGTTGAAAAAGGTGCAAAACCGATCAGCTTCTATCTGGGATGGCGCGCTTTTGGATTTGTCGGAATTCGAAAATTGACACGGCTATGTTTGCAAAGTCATGTTTGTTTTACCTTTATGATAAAATATTGTTGACATGAAGGTGTTTTATTGACAGGTTTTAGGTGACAAGTTTATACAATAGCAAATCAGGCGTGTAATATAATCCTGCAGCAATCTCAGTGCGCGTCTTCTTGACATTAGCGACCTAGTTAGCATCGAACTTACACCCTCGCGATTGATCATC